AGTGTGAAGCGGCTGGGATGAGGATCAGCACCTCCAAGTCTGAGACCATAGTTCTCAACCAGGAAAGGGTGGCTTGCCGACTCTGGGTCGGGAGAGAGGTCCTACCTCAAGTGGAGGAGTTTAAGTATCTCGGGGTCTTGTTCACGAGTGAGGGTAGGAAGGATCAGGAGATCGACAGGCGGATTGGTTCGGCGTCTGCAGTGATGCGGACGCTGAGCCGATCTGTCCGTGGGGAAGAGGGAGCTAAGCCAGAAAGCCAGGCTCTCGATTTACTGGTCGATCTACGTCCCAATCCTCACCTATGGTCATGAGCTTTGGGTAATGACCGAAAGAACATGATCGCAAATACAAGCGGCCAAAATGAGTTTCCTCCGTAGGGTGGCCGGGCTCAGCCTTAGAGATAGCGTGAGGAGCTCGGACATTCGGGAGGGACTCGGAGTAGAACCGCTGCTCCTCCAGATTGAAAGGAGTCGGTTGAGGTGGTTTGAGCATCTGGTCAGGATGCCTCCTGGACGCCTCCCTGGGGAGGTGTTTTGGGCATGTCCTGCCGGCAGGAGGCCCCCGGGTCGACCCAGGACACGTTGGAGAGGTTACATCTCCAATCTGGTCTGAGAACGCCTTGGGGTCCTGCCGGAGGAACTGGTGGAGGTGGCTGGGGAGAGGACGGTCTGGAGCTCCCTAGTTGGGATGCTGCCCCTGCGACCCGGACCCGGATAAGCAGAGGAAGACTACAACGATGTTTTTGTATGAGGTCCATTTCCTGGTTACGCAATACTGACATTGGTAAAAGTTTTGAAGTAGCCCCAACCTGATGTGAAGGGAGGCTTTTGGCACTTCACTGTCCAGAGACTACTTGTATGATTGTGAGATAAAGCCCCACGCTGGGATGGACAACTGGCTTGCCTCTCGTGTCTTCTAAGAACCCAATCAAGTCTTCAGCTGCTTTTTAAAGGAGACCACTGAGTCCACTGATCTCAGGCTCAGGGGGAGAGAGGTCCAGAGTCTGGGGGCCACAGCAGCAGATGATCTGTCACCTTTGACCTTTAGCCTGATGCTGCACAACCAGAAGGATTTGGTCACTGGACCTCAGGGACCTGCTGGAGGTGTAGGGACTAAGAAGATCACCAGTGTATGATGGTGCTTGTCCATGTAAGGCCCTATAGAGCTCCGGGAGTTGACGTCACTTTTCCCGGCATGCAACAGTTCAAATCGAAACGGCGCCATATTGGCATGCAGAAGCCGGCAGCTGGACTATTTGTTATTGTCAGAAAACTCAATCAAACGGGAAATATGGTAGATTCCTGTTGTGCCCCAGGATGCAGAACAGACGCAGACGACATAAGGAATGAGCCATCTACAGGATTCCCCAAGATCCGGAGCGCCGCAAACGTTGGATCATTATAATAAAACGCGCTAGTGACCGGGCGAAAATGAAGCTGTGGGATCCCGAGAGTAAAGGTTTTCGCTTATGCAGCGACCGCTTCATATCAGGTACTTAAACCCACGTTTCCTCAACTGTGTGTGGTGTTTATTTTAAATGCTTTTATTATGATTCTTAGTGGGCTTCCTAAACTTATTTTGGCGTGGCTTTTTCTGTCTAATTACTCATAGCAACAAGTAAACATCACGTAAAACGTTGCCTCGTGAGTTCTGCGTGCTGCCGTTTCCGTGTTTTATGATGACAGCAATTAACCGGCTAAGCTGTATTTTATTTTTAAGCAATGGTTGATCAATTGTCAGATCACACACCGAGACTACTTACGTGTAAATCTGTTATTTGTCCGTCCATCCATCCATTTTCATCCGCGTGTCGGGAGTCGGGTTGCGGGGGCAGTAGCGTGACTTCCCTCTCCCCAGCCGCCGGAGCCAGCTCCTCCGGGTAAATCCCAAGGGGTTCCCCGGTCAGGTCCGGTGTTGTGCCGGTAAGAAGTCCGCTCCGACATCTTCTGGCGTTTTTAAAAAGTATCCCAGGGGCACGGTAAGGGTCGGAGATGTTTAGTCTATTTAATTTCTGACTATATAAAACGATTTCTTCTGTTTTAAAGTGTGAAGTAAACTCAGACGAAGTAAAATCCAAGCGGATCCGTTCATGTTCATGGTTACATCCGTGTTTGTTTACCTTTTTTGCATGCCAAAATGGCGTCCACTAACTGAGAGTCACGTGGGGTCCGGAGCTCTATAGACCAGAACCAGGATCTTGAAATTAACCCTGAAGTTGACTGGCAGCCAGTGAAGCTGGAGGAGAAGCGGGGTGATGAGTTATTTTAGTAAATGGATGCACTGCTGTGCCTACTTATATTCAGCATCAGTATAAAGGAGACAAACAGGTATCAATTTCTATCCCAAAGTATCTAAAAGTTTGAACCTGCTCCACCAGCTGAGCCTGATAGTGAGAGGCTGGAGCAGCGGTGATGGAGCCCGTCCTTTGGGGCCACAACACAGCTCCTTAGTTTTGAGACATTTAGCTCATAGTGGACCTCCTGCTGATATGCAGAGTGCACAAGTGTCATGTGGGCCACCAGGGCCATGTCATCAGTGTATTTATAGTGTCATTGCTCCAGTGCTACAGGAAACATTGTTTGTGTAGACAGAAAAAGTAAGGAGAATAGAACACATCCCCGAGGGAGCCCTGCATTAAAAACAGATGTGCTAGATCTCATATCATTCAAAAGCACCTGCTGTGGTTTTTCTGTTAAAATACTTTTACCAGGATGGGATGCACTTAAAGGTCTGGGAGGCAGTGTAGTATCTAGAAGTGTGAGACGTGCATCCTCCACTCCACGCTTTACTTTATGTGCTAAATGGAGTGGGTCAGGTTTGTCTGGCAACGTGCTGGAGAGAAGATCACACAGTACTCTGTCCATACATTCACCTCTCTTTCTCATTCTGTGTGTCTGTGGTGTTCTGTATTGACTCTACAGTTCTGTTGTAACACTCTTTGTGTGTGTGTGTGTGTGTGTGTGTGTGTGTGTGTGTGTGTGTGTGTGTGTGTGTGTGTGTGCCCCACGAATTTAAGCTACGTGAATACCCATTAAAAGGTGATCAGCAAAGTTTTGATAGGAAAACACCTTCACATGTTTGATTAATGCAAACAGAGAACACCTTTTAGGTTTCTTTTGAATCAGACAAACTCAAAGAAGCTGAAAGAGTTATCGGACAACTCAGCTTGCACAAATGGCCTGATGGTCAAGGTAGATCACTCTGTGTGGATCATTAACTCCCCTGGTCCCTAGGGGGTCAGTTTCAACAGACTATCGATTAACACACACACACACACACACACACACACACACACACACACACACACACACACACGCACGCACACACACACACACGCGTGCACGCACGAGCGCGCACACACACACACACAAAGAGAGTTGCAACAGAACTGTAGAGTCAATAAATCTTTTCATTGCGTTTGTTTTGTTAATAATTACACACACACACACACACACACACACACACACACACACACACACACACACACACACACACACACACACACACACACACACACACACACTCACACACACACACACACACACACACACACACACACACACACACAGTCGTGGTTTGGAGCATTTAAAACTAGATTCTGAGGTCAAATTCTGTGAAATGGTGAAAAATTACCAGCCACTTCATTAAGTACACCTTGCTAGTAGCATTGGACCCCTATTAGAACATAATCAGAACTGTCAGCGTGTAAATATGTGAGTGGGTGAATGACTGGATGTGCTGTCCAGTGCCTTGGGGGGTCCTAGAACCCTAGAAGGCACCATATCAACCACAAGCCATTTCCTTTGTTGTCATTGTGCCCGTAGATACTGGAAAATTGAGGGTGATCCCATGATCCACCTCACACCTCAAATAGGTTTCAAACTAGGAAGAAAAAACACGACAGCTGATCCAGCTTCTGTTGGAAGTTACTTTCTGTTAAAGGGGAGTTTTACTCTCCACTATCGCTACATGCTTGCTATGGGTAATGCTGTAAAGTCTAATACAAGTCACTCGCTGCAATCTGCTGGGCTTTCATAGACAACTTAGAACTATTCGGGATAATGAACCAATTTACTACTCAGTTGGTTGAATTGAAACGTTTGCTTTGAAAAGTGCCTTGAGATGACTTGTGTTGTGATTTGGTGCTATTTAAGTAAAAAACACTTATAGATAAACCAACTGGAACATTTGGACTCTCACATTCAGTAAAAGTCTGTTTATTTATGTAGCTCCAATTCACAACAAGAGCCATCTAAAGGCATATTAGAAAGTAAAACCTGGATTTGTTCTCAATGGATGCGTGCTAAATTAGGCCGTAAACCAGCATTCCCTATTCAAGCTTTCAAAAATGTCTGAAAGCTCATCTTAATAAACTAATACATATTTAAATGTGGTTTTGTGAGTAAAAGGTAAACGTAAATATTATTATTATCATTGTTTTATTAGTATTTTATAACCCATGTTGCAACAAATGACTGAAATATGTAAAAAGATTTGAAAAGCTTGGCTTGTTTCTTGATGTTGATATGAAAGGTTCAAACACACATTTGACGCATAAAAACTAGCAGACAAAACCATCATTGTGTTCCTTTTCGTTGGACCTTATCTGTGCAGAAGGGCTCACTGCCCTCTGGTCTTTTCTGGGCAGGCATCAATCCAATGATTTTAACTGGTCATCTCTTCCTGAGGGCCCACAGCAGTCCGGGCAGAAGAGAGAGCCATTTTAAAAATGTCTGTTATATTAGCCATGAAAAGGCTGCAGGTATCTTACAGTAAAATACATCAGAACCAGGCCAAGGAGGTCCTGCTCCTCATTTTTTGTGTAGATGGAATCTTTATTGTTTAACGAGTTGAGCAGTCAGGCCTGTGAGGTTACTTTCAGTTAATGCTACAACGTTGGTGTGTGTGGAGAAGCAACTCTGGCCTGACATGACTGTGATTGGGCTTCTTCATACATGGTGGCTGCTGATTGGCCTCCCTAGCCCCTCTGTCCAATCACTGCAGCAAGTCTGTTATGTAACTGGGCCGCCTGAATGCATGTCAGAGGACAGCAAATGAAAAGCAACTTGTTTCTTCAGTTAGTTCTTTTTGCAGAGGAGCACCGAGTCTGCAGCCAGCGGTGAGTTTGCATTTACTGAAGTGGGCAAGGCTAAGAGTTTAGGACAGAGAGGCTCTGCAGCAACATTTTCATTTAGGTCAGAATGTCAGTAACATCCAGAAATGAATGCTGGTGTGCTCAACGTGTGAGGGAAGGTTTATTATCATTACTGTAGGTCTAAAACCTTCAAAGGTTTTCTTTTTTTTAAACTTTGTTCCATGTAAACTTATTCAGCTCTTCTACACACCTGATTGGCCCGCACTGGGGGCATGAGCTGAACTAAGGGATGTGATTGATTTCTGTGGTTTATGGAGCGGTATGGGGGCCAAAATTAAGACTACTGCCCAGCAGCAGGAGGCTATATAAATTCCGAAGCAAACTACTGATCTGATTATTGATAAGCTGGCGCTGGTAACTGAGAGGCTGACGTTGCTTACTGAGGAATAGCACCTTTACCAGCGTTATTACTAGATACGCTAGGGACTAGCAGCCCTCGGCTGGTCATTGACTGGTTCAAACACTCCCTCTGCTGTCTATTACCATGGATAGGCTAGCGTTAGCCTGGACGGGCTGGCGTTAGCATCGGAGAGGCTAGTCATTATGGAGAGTCACTTACTAGATGAGTTTTATTTTTATTTTTTTACTTTTTTTAAACGGATGACATACTATGAGACCTGCGATCAGTTGTTCCTTTGACAGAACGCGTTGTTATACACTTTAACTTTAAGCATATTGTAAAGCCGACAGCCTGTTAGCATTGATTAGGTGCTGCGTTAACTCCATGTTGCTCTTAATTATAGGTTGATGGTGTTTTCTTTTTATGTAGTTTGGTTTTCTTGCACATATCAGAGAAAAAGCCAGAGCTAACTAGTTTGTACTTTTCATCTTTGGATTTTAAATCATTTGTATTGAATTACAGGTTAATAATTATTTAAATTGTGATGTTATCTTTTTAAAACTATATAATATGTACAAAAAATACCCCACATCTAATAGAGTAAGTGGCTCTCCGAGACATGCTAATGGCTAGCCTCCCCGAAGCTAACGCCAGCCTATCCTTGCTAAAGGTCCGCCGAGGGGGTAGGAAATCCAGCTAGTGTCCAGCCTAGGCACGCTAATGGCTAGCCTCTTCGATGCTAACGCCAGCCTATCCATGCTGGTCCATCAAGGGGGTAGGAAATCCAGCTAGTGGCCAGCCTAGGCGAGTTAATGGCTAGCCTCTCCAATGCTAACACCAGCTCGTCCAGGCTAACGCTAGCCTATCCATGCTAATAGACAGCAGAGGGAGTGTGTGAACCAGTCAATGACCAGCCGAGGGCTGCTAGTCCCTATATCTTCTCAGTAAGCAGTGCCAGCCTCTCAGTTACCGGCGCCAGCTTATCGTTAATCAGGTAGGTAGTTTGCTTCAGAATTTATATAGCCTCCTGCCACTGTGCAGTAGTCTTAATTTTGGCCCCCATTCCCCACCATAGTGGTTGACCTAAAAGCCGGCCCTACACCTTTCTGACTAAAGTCAAGGAACTGTCAGACCCGTGAGTGCTGAGCACACCAGGTCTCATGACATTGTTTGTTTTTACGCAAATAAAAAAATCAATACTGACAGAAATTAATTTGACAGTGCATTAAATAAAGCTTATTGTTTTGCAGCACTCTGTTAAAGTGTGTGAGTTTGTCATCCAAAATGCTCCGTTTCATAACTTTTGAATGGCTGATCAGATTCAAAGAATTCCAACTTGCACTTCCACTTTGCACTTTTCATTACAATTTTACAGCCATAACATTAAAAACATACCAATAATTATGGTCATAAGAGGGTAATTAAGACGGCAATGCACAAACAGGAAGTGATTGGTAGTCATTCCACTCCAATCCAGTTGGTGGCGGTAATGCACCAAATGGTTGTTCGCCAAGTGCCATAAGACCACAAACAAGAAGAAGAAGAGAGGCGGGAGCGTTCGTAACAAACTCAAAGCGATAGTCAAAACATTAAGCATGACATGGAGTTATCCTGGTGGCTCCAATAAGAGAAAGAAGCATCATGCTTCATAAAAGCTTTTATTTTCACTTCTGAAAGTGACGTCGTTTCTCAATGTAAACATCAAAATTGAGCAGAAAAGGAAAGACAATGGAAAATGCTTAAAGGGAGGAAAACATAGACCAAAATGAAAAATGGAAAAAATAAACAAAGGCTAAAGCACAGGAGCGCTGACAGGAAAAAGAAAGCAGAGCAAATATTGAAAGCGCTCAAAAGGAGGGAAATACAGGAAAAAAGAGGAGGACTAATAACAAGGGAAAATAACTCGTGTCAGAAGAGGGGAGAATTTTGCAAATCCTGTTAAAGGTAAGATTGTCGAAAATTTAGCGTAAGGGGCCCCATGTCTGTGTTCGCCTTGGGCCCCCAAATTGCTAAATCTGCCCCTGGCGCCGAGCAGGGGTGGGCACACTTGTTGCGCCCCATCTTTGTGCCAGAATGTTGGGGTTTACCCCGGTGAACAAGAGGGTAGCCTCCTGCCGCCTTCGTATGGGGGGGACAGGTCCTGACTGTGGTTTGTGCTTGTGCACCAAACTGCAGCTTAGACTACCCACCATTTTTGGAGTCCTTGGAGGAGGTGCTGGAGAGCGCTCCTTCCAGTCACTCCCTCATTCTGCTGGGGGACTTTAACACTCATATGGACAACAACAGTGTGACCTGCCGGCAGTGCAGTGCATGGCCGGCCCGGCAGTAAGTCCAGCTTGTTTCCGGTGAGAGTTGGACTTCACCAAGGCTTCATCGAAACATGAACTCCAGCTTCTGCTGCTGCCTCTGCAACCGGAGTCCTGATAAGCGACTGAAAATGGATGGATGGTGTGTGATACCCGGGAGTCTGGGAATCGAATCCCGATTGGATCATTTTTTTCAATATCCGCCACAGATCTCTCTGAAGAACTCACAACATTGACAGCAACGCTGTGCCACTCTGTGGATTTTCTCATATTTGTTTTGCAAAAGCACTTCCTTTCATTTCTCCACCTCACCCACAGGTACCTCAACTTCTGCTTCTGTGAAATTGTGCTTCCTTGATCTGCCTTGATCTACGGTCGCCATGTCATTGGTGGAGCGCTGCAACAGCCGGCTTATGTATATGCATGAGGTCCACAAGGCACTTTGCATTGACTATTTATGGCAGTAAGTGGGCGTGGTGAGGGCGGGATGTGACTAAAAAGCAGCTGAGAAACATTCTCGTTAGTCTCTGATTCATGAAGCGGAGATTGCGTGCAGCTGTGCGTCCTCCATGTTTGATAGATCACAAACCTGCTTGGCGTAAGTACACATTTTTTGCTGAGCTTAAGTACAGCTTTAGTAAGGATTCTACGCAATGTTTGATAAATGAGACCCCAGCCAAGTAAATCTTCATCATCCAAGTCTGGAAGAGCTTTTCCGGCATCCCGAGTCACGCTGGGGCATGTCCTGGGCAGTGGCATGGTGTTGTGGACATATGGTGGTTTTTGTGTATCATGGCAGGAACCCACTTAACCTGGTGGACCCTTGAGTCAAGAGAAACCATCAGGTAAAATGAGTTCAGCTGTGCTTGGCGGACCTGTGGGATTCCAGAAACATCCTCAGACTGGCCAGAACCAGGGCAGGTGGACTGAGCTAAGAGCAGAGTTTGACGAGGGAATGGAGCAGGACTTTGGTTTGTCTTAACATATTTTAACCCTGACACACTTTCTGACTGGTGGTTGAACTTTGGTATCGGGGGAGTTGTGGGAGTTTTTCCAACCTGTTCCCATTCTTTGACTCGGCAAAAATAAAAGTTTATCTAATTCATGAAAATGTGACTAAATGTTTACGGACATGAAACTGCTGGGACTCCGACTAACCAAACATGATGTCATCTAATCTCTATGTTCTAGATCTGTGGAACATTAAGCCCTATCACAGTTGGTGGGACAAAGAAGTGAAACGAAGGAAGCAAAGTTGTGTTTCTTTCAACTCCGCTATATAACTTGGTTAAAGTCCATTCTTAAGAGACCTCTTTTGGAGTCTGTTACTCACACTTTTGTCACCTCACGACTGGACAACTTGCATCCTCTCTTGAGCGTCTCCAGAAAGCGCAGAACGCTGTATCTTGATTCCTCACGAACCCTTCCAGAAGCTGCACATTACTCCCATCTTTGCTGATTTACACTGGCTCCCTGTACTTTCTCAGGTTCATATCAAGGGTTTATCTTTTGTCTATAAATCAGTGAATAGCCCAGCTCCCTCTTACCTGTCCTCACCTGCTCATCCCCTATATCCCTTCCAAACCTTTAAGGTCTGCAGATCACCTGCTCCTGTGTGCCCCTATGTATCACAAAACTTGTGGGGAGCAGGCCTTTTCCCCAGATACTGGAATCCACTTCTTCTCCATGTATGAATGCCAACATCAGTCAGTACTGATGAGCTATCTTTATCATTTAGCTTTTGGTCAGTGATCCAGTTTTGCTGCGGTTTCAGACCTGTCGCCTATGTGTGCTTTATTCTGTGCTGTTTTATTAGTTTAGCTTATGGTGTTTTTATGTTTTATTTGCTATTTTAGTCATTTCGCTATTATTATGTTTCTTTTAACCTAATTAATGTCCCATTGTCAGCTGCTGTGTTGGGTCTGTTTTTACCATGGAGCCAGCTGTTAGCACAAAGCTTCACCTCCTCCACAAGCCTCAGAGCAGCAAAGGAAGAGAAGAAGAAACTTTTTTTAATAGCACTTCTCAAGATAAAGATCTCAAGGCACTTCCAAATAACAACAACAATAATAATAATAATAATAATAATAATAATATATAATATAATATAATTTTTAATTAATTTATTTTTTAAGAATATCATATTACACAAGGTGGAAATCTTCAAATTAAAATATGAGAAAAAGACAAAAATAAATAAAAAAAGGTGTACAGTATGTTTATGTTTATGTATTTAGCAGACGCTTTTGTCCAAAGCGACTTACAAGTTATAATCGGCATGTTGCCCTTGAGGCTAACAACAACAATAACAACAACAACAACAAACAATTTCCAGTCAGTCGTAGGTGGCAGTGAGGCAGCATGACGAATCATGCAGAGGAGGGAACAAAGGAATGGACAGTAGAGGGGGGACGGGTGCAGGGAGGGTGCTAGTTCAGAAGATGCTCTCTGAAGAGCAGGGTCTTCAGAAGTTTCTTGAAAATTGAAAAGGAAGCCCCTGTTCTGGTAGTGCTTGGTAGGTCATTCCACATTTGTGGAACGATGCATGAGAAGAGTCTGGATTGTCCTGAGCGTGGTGTAGGCACTGCTAGCCGACCATCCTGTGATGACCGGAGCGGCCGGGCCGAGACGTAAGCCTTTGCAAGAGGATTCAGGTAGATGGGAGCTGTACCATCTCGGACTTTGTATGCTAGTGTTAGCAATTTGAATTTGATTTGAAAAAAGGTAATACATAATTTTGAGAAAGGAACAATTGTGGCAGAAACAGCAGCATTAAAATTAGGTAATGACGAAGAATCAACAGAAGGTCCCACCAAAGCCTGAACAAGTGAGTCTTCAGCTGCTTTTTAAAGGAGACCACTGAGTCCACTGATCTCAGGCTCAGGGGGAGAGAGTTCCAGAGTCTGGGGGCCACAGCAGCAAATGATCTGTCACCTCTGACCTTTAGCCTGGTGCGCTGCACAACCAGTAGGCTTTGATCACTGGACCTCAGGGACCTGCTGGGGGTGTAGGGACTAAGAAGATCACCAATGTAAGATGGTGCTTGTCCATGTAAGGCCCTATAGACCAGAACCAGGATCTTGAAATTAACCCTGAAGGTGACTGGCAGCCAGTGAAGCTGGAGGAGAAGCGGGGTGATGTGGGTGTGTTTGGAGGACTTGGTCAGAAGCCGAGCACAGACACCTGTAGATGGTTCAGGGAGATCTGCTCAGACACGTGAAAAGAGAGTTACAGTAGTCTAACCCCGGCTTTCCACAGGAGCCGTCAGCTGCACGTTACTGCAGCAGCACGTCATAGCTGCTGATAGGAACCGCTGTGGTCAACAGAACCTTTTCCACCGGAGCCGTCAGCAGCGCGAGTCGGCCGCGTCTCAGGAGCAGCATGTCGCGGCCTTTACGCGCCGGTTCTATTTTCTACACGCGACGCCTCTGAAACTGGTCAAGTTCGACATTTTTGGGGAAGGAAAGACAGGAAATCGGACGCGGAAATGGAGAGAAGCTCCCGAGATTTTCAGAATAAAGAACGTACTGCCTTCCGGTCGCTTTACTTTTAAAAAAGGTTACTAACTGTGCGTCCCCGTGAGAAGCTATCACCCAGCTAGCAGTCTCCTTTGTTTTTCAGGTCCGTATTGGCGATTATAAAACAGAAAGAACATAAAACACAAACCATGTTGTAATTTTCTCCTGCTTGTTGTTGTGTTTACTGACGACGTCGCTCGTGTGACTTCGTGCTCTGTCGGTGACAGCTGCTCCCCTGCTGCTTCGCGTCTCGTGGGAAGGGCCAAGCAGCAGCTTACGCGAGCAAGACGTGCTGCTGGCTCCTGTGGAAAGCCAGGGTAAGCCTGAGGAGATGAAGGTGTGGAGAACTGTCTCAAGTTCAGAGCGGGACAGAATGGGACTCAGCTTTGCAATGTTCCTGAGATGGAAGAAGGAAGAACGAACAAGAGAACTGACAAGAGAATCCAGGGTGAGAGCCGGGTAAAAGGTCACGTCAAGATTCCTGATGGAAGGTTTGGTGTGGGAAGCAAGCTGACCAAGAGAGTCTCTGACTTTGGGAACCAGCTTGTCTGGGGCACAGATGAGGATTTCAGTCTTATCTTCATTTAGCTGTAGAAAGCTCCCAGCCATCCAGGTTTTGATAGAGTCTAAGCAGGTGTGTAACAGCTGCAGCTTAGACATCTCATGGGGCTTAAAGGAGATGTACAGTTGGATGTCATCTGCATAAAGATGCTAGGACATTCCACTAAATGAACTCAGGATGTGCTGAAGAGGAAGCAGATAGAGGTGGAAGAGCAGAGGCCCCAGCACAGAGACTTGTGGGACACCATGGGTGAGGGAGGTGGTGGAGGACCTAAACTTGGAGACAG